TAGTGTGGCATGTGCACACTGAGGAGCCTTTCACCAGTTTCATCTGATACGCTGTGACTCCAAGCAGGAGCTGACGCCACAGACAAGGTCGACCTGTGCGGGTTAGTAGGTCAAACAAGGAGCTAGTCTTTTGACAGAGTTCGGAGGCAGGGTCAGACTAATGTGATTTATCAATACAGCACAAAAGTGATTCATTGTGCGTCATATCGACTGATAATCCACAAGATGGGCCGTGGCCATCATCGCCTAATGAGTGAGGAGGTGTCTGGGGAAGGTGAATGGGGTGCTTGTTAGGGAGAGCGTGCATCATTGTTCTGGGCTTGATTCGAGCACCAAGAATATGCACCTGCAAGATGACCTTATATTTGTCAGCTGTTCCGCAACTGCTTCCTTCTCTTGCACACACACATACACACACACACACACACACACACACACACACACACACACACACACACACACACACACACACACACACGGATTAATGGAGGGGCCTGTGGAAAAAAAAAGTTGCGTTGTTGGAGCTCGGGTTCAGGTCAAGACTCTGCTCTGTGTAATCCCTCTCAGGTGATGCTGTTCACATTCAGCTCGTTCCTGCTGATCTGCTTAAATATGCCTTCCTCACCCCGTAAAACTCCCCCCCCCCACCACCCTCTTCTCACCAGCAAGGACGATGAGAGGGAGGGAGGGCTGCTGCTTTTCCTCGCCCATCAAAACCTCAGATCATTTTTCAGCCTTTCTGCAGAGCCATCAATGTGTCAGTTAGCTGGTGCCACACAAGAATAAAGTCAACAAAGCTTGACAGTTTTATGGAAAGAAGAAGGTCAGGATGCAGGGCTCACATCACCTGGATTAGACAAGCATCATGTGAGAGAGCAGTGTCAACAGACATGCCATCTGAAGGGCTGCCTTCCCTTTTTCCAAAAGCTACAGTGGCAATGCGGGTTATAAAGCAGCCACTTGGAGCATTCCCGCGCTCATCAACAGATTATATTGCACAGAAGTGCCGGGTTCCAACATTAACACTACCAACCACAAACTGGGGAATTTGTGGAAGCTTTCAGCACACATAGGCCTGGTTTGCAGGGCCAGAATGGAGAGGAACTGTCTGAGATTTTTTATTGTACAGTACGTCTCCAGCCTTCCCTTATCAACTATTAAATGGGCATAACTTTCAGGGGTAAAGACACAAGTTGAAAGCGTTTCCAACTCTAATGCTTGTCTAATGTCTGCCCTTATTATTCTTTGCTGAAATAAGGGCTTAATCAGTTTCACGTCACCACCCTTTTCTGTGGATTTTGGCATCAAAATACATCCCGCAATCCTTGTACTGACTGTCATCAGTGGTACAGTGTGTCATGCCTTTCTGACTTTGCTCCCTACATACACCCTGCTAGGCCACAGTTGATTCATCTAAACACTTTCATTCTTTAAAACATCTGGAGAGGCAGTTCAGCAACACATCACTGCGAATTGACCATAAAATGATTGCAAATTAGCTGCAGACGTTTGGTTATTCAAATTCCAGGCTGCAGATTCGAAGGGGTTAACGGTATCACATGGCAACTTTTCACCACTCTGGCTGCTAGTACATATTCATTACCTGTTCAACATCTGGGTATCTGTGTTGCTCCTGGCAGTGCTACTCAAGTGTGATTTTATGTAGTCAGCAGTGGCATCATTATCCAGCAAATAGAAATACTAACTGTTGACTTGTCAATAACCCCCTTTCTAAGGCACGTCATTTACATGACAAAAAAATCACCCCAGACAAAAAAAATAAATAAAATCAAAAAACATACAATACCAGCCATAACGCATCAAATAGTTTGCATTAAAAGCTAATCATGCTCAATGTTGACACTGTCAGAGAGCTTTAAACATATGCATGTGTTTACCGTTCTGGTTGTACTTTGCAGTGGCCTCTAGAACTGCACTGAATCACGCTGAGAGGCATTTGTTACCTCATGTGCAGCATTTATATGAGTAGAACACACAAGACACCTCTCAGTATGTTACAGTGCAGTTGGACACAACCGCAATATGGCATTTTAGGTTGTTTTAGGTTGTTTACATTTGAATCATCCATCCATCAAATACATTCGTACCGCTCAACCTCACCAGGGCCGTGCGTGTACTGGAGCCGATCCCAGGTGACATTTGGGCAAGAGGCGGGGTGCACCCTGAACTGCTCGGCAGTCAGTCTCAGAGCAGATATAGACAAAGAGCCATTCGCACTCATGTTCACACCTACAAACAATTTGGAGTCTTCAGTTAATCTCTAGGTTAGTTGATTAGTTAGTTGAATGTCCATTCTGTGCTATGATTTTTCTTTTCTGTATACTTGTATATTATTTGCATGTTCAGAATTTGTTAAAAATCTAAATCAAATCCTACCGTGCATGTTTTGGGAAAAAAAGAAAACACATACAGGCATGAGGAGAACAAGCAAACTCGACACACAGGAAGACGAGAGCCCAAATTTGAATCCACAGCCTCTGAACCATTAACCAGTCGCCCAACGAGTACATTTGTGTTCATGACTGTGCTTAAGATCTTGATGGCCAAAACTAGCAGCCCCTTGTATCAGTTTTCAAAAATGGATGGCATTTTTTTCCCAACATGCCAGTTAATCTGTCAAATACAAACTCCTGCACTAGAAAATGAATCTATACATTCAAAATCCATCATTCATAACATATCAGCTGGGATACACTGTGGTTCTCTGCTAGCCATAATCATAAAAGTTACATTTTTTGATGCCATTCTTGCATTGGATCTTAAAAGATGTTGTGGTCGACCTTAAGAAATGTCTGCAGGGTAATTGTATAAAACATAAAAAAATAATTGTAATCAAAAAGATCCCAATCACTTGACTAAATTTAAAACAATCAGCTGGTCTCCTTGAAATCCTCATAAACTTGCTCAGTACAGAGCGCCCCTCACACCTCACTTGGTTATGTTGATACGTGCATGCCTCACATCAGTGGCAAAACTTTTCCATGCGTGTTCCAAAAGGCATGAGTGTTGTTATTGTTAAACATAAAACAATTTTGCTCGGCGAGAACAGTGTTGCCAAATTGACTTTCAAGCGGGTCTGGGACTCAACACTGCTGAACGATTTGGATAGCTCCTGGTACATGCCAGACGGACTGTGTACAAACCTGTCAGAAGAACATGGAGGACTACAAAAATACTCGATTTTTTTTTGGACTGGACAATGATGTCTTACACGCCTCTCTGTGTTGCTGTGGTCGATAAAAACAGCAGGCAAATATCAAGCGTTTGGGTTGACTTTCTCAAATGGCACTTCTGCTCCAGTGTTCTGCCAAGACACCTCTGAGGGATTAATAAATCCCAATAGTTTTTAAAACTGGAATCACCTGATGTACTTTAAAGCTTTTTTTAAAGTCAAACTGTCTTGACCTCATCTCCAATGCATCTCCCCTCACAGACTCAGTCCTTCTCTTTCTCTCTCACACACACACACACACACACACACGCACACGCACACGCACACGCACACACACACACACACACACACACACACACACACACACACTCGCACGCACGGGTTCCATAAATGGGAGAAAAGTGATGATGATTCTTCAGTGCCCATGACTGACGGAGGACCTA